TTTTTTTTTTTTTTTTGGTGGTGGTATTAGGGATTGATTGAACCCCTGCCCTTCACACTGAGCTGCATCCCTAGCCTTTTTTTTTTTTCATTTTTCTTTTGAGACAAGGCCTACTAAGTCAATAGATTGACCAGGCTGTGGTTGAATTTGTGATGCTCCTGCCTCAGCCTTCCAGAGTGCTGGGATTATAGCTATGTGCTATAAAAAGTCATTCATTTTAAAGAACATTGCCTTTAGATTTTAGAAAATAATACAGTCATTTAAAAAATTTTTTATGACTCATAAAGCTTAAATCATAATTCTTTTGTTATTACTATGTGTTTCGATATATATAGTGCTTATATTCTTTTGGGGGAATCGGTACATGTGCACATCATGTCATCTTGGTCATATTTACTTTCCCTTCTCCTCCTTGTCATCCCCAATTCCACCTTTCCCAGGTCCTCTTCCCATCCCCACAAAGTCTACCTCCCTGTATCCTACCTACTGTTAAGACTTTTTGTTACTCTAAACTCTCTTTAGAGTAACAAAAAGTCTTATCTTTTCTTACATTCTTTATTTATATTTTGGGTCTCTCATATTAGAGAAACCATGTAATATTTAACCTATGTCTGATTTCACTTAATGTTATGGTCTAACGGTCCATCCCTTTTTGTGCCATCAACTCAGAATTATACTTCTTTTTGTCCGAGTAGTACTCCATTGTGCATATGTTGTGTACTTTCTTTATGAATCTGTTGATGGGCATACAGGCTATGATTTACCTATTTTGGGAGTTGTCCTGCTACAAACATGGATATGCATGTATCACCGTAATATAATTATTTTAGCTGTTTAGGGAAGATACCCAGAGAGGTACAGCTGGGGTAAATGAAATTTTTATTTTTAGAGTTTTTTTTTGTTTGTTTGTTTGTTTTTGAGACAGAGTTTCACTATGTAGTTCAGGCAAGCCTTGAATTCACTATGTAGCCTAGGCTGGCTTCGAACTCACAGTGATTCTCCTGCCTCTGCCTCCCAAGTGCTGCGGGGTTACAGGAGTGTGCCACCACACTGGACTATTTTTAGTTTTTTAAGGTATCTCCATACTGATTTCCATAGTGGTTTACACTCTCACCTACAATTTAGAGAAGGATTCCTTCCCCCTCCCAACCTTACCAACATTTGTTATTTTTGCATCCTTGAAAGCCATTCTGGAGTACCACAAGCTCTTGGTGTTTTTTTTTAAATTTGTGTTTCTCTAATGGTCAAAAATGCTCAACCTTTTTTTCATGTACTTATTGCCCATTTGTATTTCTTCTGAAAGGGTCTTCATTTCAGTTGCCCATTTTTTGATTGGGTCATTTATTTTGGGGTGATTTTATTTTGAATTTTTAATATATTCTAGATGCTAGTTAATTCTCCATCTCAGGAGTAACTTCCAGAGTTTTCCCCATTCTGTAGATTGTCTTCAGTCTGTTCATTGTTCCCATTGCTGTGCAGAAGCTTTTTTATTTGAACCAAGAGATTGGGGTGGAGGGAAGAGGGTGTAAAAAGAGTTCTGTTATATACATGTACCAACTTTTCACAAGGAATGTAAATCATTATATACTGTAAACATGTACTTTCATTTGATATAATCCCCATATGGATCTAGATTTATTCTTTTGAGTATGATAGCAAGTTTTCCCAGCATCATTTGTTAAAGAAGTTATCTTAGCTCCAGTATGTATTACAACCCTCTTTTTCAAAAACCGCATGGCTGAAGGTGCTTAGTGTGTTTCTGCATCCTCTTTTCTATTCCCTTGTCTGTTTTTGCGCTAATACCATGCTGTTTTTATTACTGTAGCTTTACAGTATAACTTGAAATCTGGAAATGTACTTGTTCTTAGGATTGGTTTAACTATAGTTCCATATAATTCCATAGATTGGTTTTAGCTCTTATAGTTCCATATACATTTTAGAATTTTGTTTTAGTTCTGTAAAAAACGCTGATGTGTGATTGATTTGATTGGTATGGTATTAAATCTGTAGTTCATTTTTGGTAGTATTATTTTGATATTGCATCTGCTTAGGAATGCTTCTGCCTAGGAAGAGGGGATATCTTTCAATTTTTAGTGTCCTCTTCAATTTCCTTAGTTTTTGTCATAGAAGTCTTTTACTTCCTAGTTTAGGATAATTCCTAGATTTTTGTTGTTGTTGTTGTTGAGGTTACTGTGAATGGGATTGTTTTTCTGATTTCTTTTCTGTGGGATCACTCTTCATGTATAGGGATGCTACTGATTTTTGTGCATTTATTTTATATCCTACCACTTGGCTGATTTTATTAATTTAAGGAATCTTCTGGTGATTTTTTTCAATCTTCAATGTAAAGGATGATGTAATCTGCAAACGAGTATTTTTTTTTTATTTTTTTTCAGCTTTAATTAAGTTTATTGGTACATTTTAGGGATACAGTACAGTTACATTCATTGTACCCCTACATGACAAGTCTTGAGTCTTGGTTCTCATTTTTTCCCCTTGTCCCTGCCCTCCTTTCACCCCCTCCTCTCCTCCCCATCTATAAATACTTTATTTCCATCTCACATTTTTCATCATCTCACATTTTTTTCTTTTAAACAACAGTATTTTAACTTCTTGCTTTCCTGTTTGAGTCCCTTTTATTTCTTTCTCTTGCCTAATTGAGCTAACTAAAAAAAAATTTTTTTTCAGTACTGGGGATATAAGTTTGCAATACTTGATTACTTTCATTGTGGGGTATTTTGTGTGTGTGTGTGTGTGTGTGTGTGTGTGTGTGTGTGTGTGTGAAAACTTTTTTTTGTACCAGTGATTGAACTGAGGAACTTGTGCTTACGAGGCAGGCGGCAGCACTGAGCTAAATCCCTGGCCCAGAGCTGACTAAATTTTGAATACTCTGCTGAACAGGAGTGGCAAGACTGGCCTCAATCATTTTGTTCCAGATTTTAGTGGAAATGCTTTCACTTTTTCCCCATTTACTATGCTGTTCTCAGTGGGTCTGTGATAAATGACTTTTTATCATTTTAAGGTACCAAATTTTTCAAGGTTTTAATTTTTCAGGTTATTTGTTTTGGCTTTTATTCATTTTCAGTTTTATTAGCACATGTTTGCAGTACATGATGACTGCATTCACTCCAGGGAATTGGTACAGGTACATAACAAATTTCAGTTCCCTTCTTTCCCCCTTCTTTGGCCTCCCTTTTATTTTTCTAGCATCAGATTAATTTATAAGACCTTATTAATTTATATATATATATTTTTTTTTTTTGAAAACTAGACTAATAGGCCAAAGAACATATAAAAAGTGTAAGATGATTATAGGGAGCCAAGGTACACTTTAAGATATATTCTCTGCACTGGATTATAACACCTTTTTCTTTTTTCCTATTATTGGTGATAAATACATGGTTTTTCACATAAGAGAACAATGTGACATTTATGCTTGTGTGTCTGAGTTACTTCACTTAACATTGTGATTTCAAAGTGCATCCATTTTCAGTTTCCAGCGCCTGCCTTGCAGGTACAAGGCAGTTTGATTCCCGGTACCCCCCTACCCCGCAAAAAGAGAACTGCATCCATTTTCCTACAAATGACTCAAGTTTCTTTTTTGTCAGAGTAGTACTTTATAGTGTATAAATACATTTTCTTTATCCATTTATCTGTTGGTGAACATATAGGCTCTTTCCAACTTTTAGCTATTATGGGTTATGCTGTTATAAACATGGGTATATGTGCAGCACTGTGGTATGATGTGTTTAACACTTGGGAAGATACCCAGGAGGGGAATAGCTGGGTCAAATAGAATTTCTACTTTTAGTTTTCTTAAAGAATCTACATACTGACTTCCATAGTGGCTGTATCAGGTTACAGTCAACAATGGAAAAGGGTTC